ATAAAAGCAATAAGCCCCGTGAAGCCGTGGTTTACAGTGAATTTATAACAGCTAAGGGGCGTTGTTAGGCACACGACGCGAAGCGGAGTGCCTAAAACCCCCTTAGCTGTTATAAGCTTCTTGGGGCTTATTGTTTTAATTAATCTAATCTAATAATTATAATTAAGTGAAGCCGTGGTTTACAGTGAATTTATAACAGCTAAGGGGCGTTGTTAGGCACACGATGCGAAGCGGAGTGCCTAAAACCCCCTTAGCTGTTATAAGCTTCTTGGGGCTTATTGTTTTAATGAATCTAATCTAATAATTATAATTAATAATTTACAATTTATGCATTTAGCAGACACTTTTATCCAAAGCGACTTACAGTGCATTCAGTCTAAAAAATTTTTTTTTACCAGTATGTGAATAATATATAATAGAAGTTAAAAGATGTTGGTAGGGGACAAGCCTGAAATAGAGAAATGTTTGAAGATTTTCCGTTTCTCCTCTTAAAATGAAGAAAAAGTGATTAAAAAGAAACAATAATATGTTTAAAGCAACAATAATCTATCATTTAAAACAATTTTTTTAACTCCTTAAAATCGTCCAAAGGGACATAAAAGATAAGCTATCAAGAATCAGCCATATACAGTGTTCTGATCTATAATCACCACTAGAGGGCGCTTTTACCTGAGAGCTCAGGAGCTGGCAGGAAGCGAGCTCTTTCTCGTTGGCCTGCATTTTACGCATTGTGTCGGCCTGTGTGCTCTCAAGCTGTTTACTGCGGTTGGCCAGAGATTTCACTTCTGACTTCATCTTACTGATGAAGAGCCGTGCCATGGTGAATTCCTCCTCCATTCCTCCGTTCATCTCTGTACCTGAGAGCTCAGGAGCTGGCAGGAAGCGAGCTCTTTCTCGTTGGCCTGCATTTTACGCATTGTGTCGGCCTGTGTGCTCTCAAGCTGTTTACTGCGGTTGGCCAGAGATTTCACTTCTGACTTCATCTTACTGATGAAGAGCCGTGCCATGGTGAATTCCTCCTCCATTCCTCCGTTCATCTCTGTCATCTGAATAAAGAAAGAGAAACCAAATGAATGAATTAATTTCAATAAATTAATTTGCTATTTGAATCTCTGTCATCAAAAGTGACAGTAAAGATGTTACAAATAAATTCTATTTCAAATAAATGCTGTTCTTTTGAACTTTCCATTCATCACATAATCCGGAAAAAATGTTGGTTGCTGCAAATATATAACAGTTTCCAAAAATATATTAAGCAACTGTTTTCAAAATTTATAATAATAATAAGAAATGTTTCTTGAGCAGCAAATCAGCATTTTAGAATGATTTCTGAAGGATCATGTGAGACTGAAGATGCTGAAAATTCAGCTTCGCCATCAGAGTAAAAATGTAATAAATGGCATTTCAATATCATTCAAATATATTAAAACAGTTCTTTTAAATTACATTAATATTTCACAATATTACTGTTTTTATTATATTTTTGATCAAATAACATCCTTTGTAAGCATAGGAGACTTCTTTCAAAAAACATTTTAAAAAAATCTTAACGACTCCAAATTTTGAATGGTAGTGCATTATAAAATTAGCATTTATGTAAATAACCACATATTCACATGTGTATGTAAGTGGTTGTGAGGTGTTTACAACGTTGAAAATTGTGGTGCAATTTACAAATTATATAAGAAATTGAAATATATCTGCACAACATTATAGGCTTACTTTTAAAAATGATTAAAATGTATCTTTTGTTAAGCAAATAAGTTGTGCATTTACTTTTTTCTTTATTAAGCAGTGTATTCTTACCTTGTGGTCATTCAAGGCAATAACGCTGCCAATCTCATTGAGGTCCCGGAGCAAGAGACTGAGGATCTCTGCTGATCTCTTCTTGTGATGTCCACTGAGCTCCTGCAGGGCAGACAGATCCGTCTCCACACCAGCCAGAGCTGCCTAAGAGATAACAGGACAATATCAAAGCTACAACACCATCACTCTTCATTCACATGAGCTTTCCTTATTCTACTTACAGTCTTCTGCATAAGCTCTTCTGTGAGCTGTTGGTTTGTCTTGCTTCTCTCCTCCACCTCATGGCTTTTCTGGTCGTAGTTCACTGCTAGCTCCTCCAAGGCCTGGAGCACCTCCTTCACCTCCTCTTTAGCTGCCTCGTTCTCATGCTGCAAACGGCTCAGATCTTCCTGGATCTTCTCATAGTCACGCCGTGTGGATGCCAATAACTGTAAGAATGCAGGATGGAGAAGTCAGACATCTATATTAGTCAGAGGACTGTCTAGAGCTTTACTTACAGAATTCCTGCTTCTTTGTCGTTAATATATATATATATATATATATATAACCATTCAAAAGTTTGTGGTCAGTAAGATTTTTTCTTTTTTTAGTGAAAGAAATATATTTATTCAACAAGAACAAAACATTTCTTTAGCACCAAATCAGCATATTAGAATGATTTCTGAAGGCTCATGTGACACTGAAGGCTGGAGTAATGATGCTGAAAATTCAGCTTTGCCATCACAGGAAATAAATTACAATTTAAAATATATTAAAAAAGAAAAAAAGTCATTTTAAATTGTAATAATATTTCATAATATTATTTTTTTCATATTTGATCAAATAAATGCTGCTATGGTGAGCATAACTCTTAAAAATATATAAATAAATACATGAATAAAATAAAAAATCTGGTCCCACTTTATATTAAGTGGCCCTAATACCTGTGTACTTACATAGTAACTAGATGTGTACGTAGTATGTAACCACAGTGTAAGTACACATTGGTACATAGTATCTAGAGCTGTAATATTTCTGTAACTACACACATGATGTAACAACCCTCCGAATGGTTTGTGTAAGTACAAATGTGTAACAGGACATATAAAACTACATTTTGTAACAACAATATGTATAGGAGTAATTGGAACAATTTTATTCAGGGGGTGGAGATGGGTAGCTTTAGGGATATGCAAAGTGGGAGGATCTCAAGTTGGTGGAGTTGGTGCACCACTGTAATACCAGTGTACTTACATGGTAACTCCTCAGGAACTGTCCACTTAATATAAAGTGTAACATTCTGGACACCAACCACAATTTATATGTAAAGCCTAACTTACTGGCTGCTGCTGTGTAACATCAGAGTAATTACATGGTAAATCCATAGGAATTGTTTTACTTAATATAAAGTGTAACACTTTCTTTACCAAAAAGTGCTGTTAGTCCTGTTACACATTTGTACTTTCATTAGCAAAAAGTGTTGTTACCAATGTCCTGTTACACATTTGTATTCACACATACCATTCAGTGGGTTGTTACATATGTGTAGTTACACAAACATTACAGCTGTGGATACTATGTACCAATGTGTACTTACACTGTGGTTACATACTATGTACACATCTAGTTACTATGTAAGTACACAGGTAACCCTTAAACTTTTGAACGATAGTGTTAGTGTACAATCAGAGATAGCAAAACTATCAGACCTCAGATGGAAGGGTATCATTTCATAAGAACATACAGTATGTGATCACTGGAATGCTGTTCAGAATGATTTAATTAGAATTATGGGGGGAAAAAATGTACTGATGCAGAAATATTGGGATTTTTGAGTTCCTGGGGTGTGTCCAAGTGTTTCAAAAGACCCTATTAGAGATCCTGTTTCCATGGGAACAACATTTATTTTTAAATGTCTTTCACATTCACCTGTATAATAGGAGCAATTTTGCTTTGTTGCCACTCTTTGTACCTGAATGGAATTTCTAAGTACAGGCAGTGAGATGATAGATCTCAATTTAAAACATCAATTATTTACCTAATTATTACCCCAAGCACTTGTTTTAAAGAGTTTTGATTAACATGTTCTACTGCAATGAAGGAATGCATAACAGCCAGCCAGTGATCAGCTAGTAGCATATGTATGTTTACACAGGTTAAACTTTTTCATAACAATTTCCCTCAGTTTCAGATGCATTTTATTTACCTAATTATTACCCCAAGCACTTGTTTTAAAGAGTTTTGATTAACATGTTCTACTGCAATGAAGGAATGCATAACAGCCAGCCAGTGATCAGCTAGTAGCATATGTATGTTTACACAGGTTAAACTTTTTCATAACAATTTCCCTTTCAGTTTCAGATGCACTGCAGACAAAGCATCATGGGAAGGCATGTGACATCATAAATTGCAGAGGGCATGAGTTTTCTGCTCTATGTTGCTGCTCTTGAGCCAGATTCACCTCATCCTGATCCACCATCTGCTGCTTCAGGTTCTCTGCCAGCTGACTGTGCTGGTTGATCTCATCATCCTGTGGTGAAAGACAGAAGGAGAGAGGAAGGTCTGAGTTGTGAAGGCTGTACTTCCTGATGCACTTTTCTAACAGCGTGTGAGAGGTATTTATCACCTTGTCATCTAGTTGATGATACAGGTCATTGATCAGCTCCTCATACTGGGTTTTCTCTGAATCAGAAACAGGCTCAGGGGGCGGAGCCGAAGTGTCAATTATGGGAGCGGCTTCAGAATTCTTTACTTCCTTACTGTTGTGCTGCTCATCAACAGGTACAGTCTCACCTAAAGATAAAGAGGGAAAATATGTCAGTCCAACACTGACATATTTTTTTTATTAATTATCAAGTGGCTTTGGATTTCTAGTATGAAGTTATTGTAAAATAAAATAAAATAAAATAGCAAAGGCATTGGTTTCTTCATTAATAAAAGGAACAAGGCTTTCAGGAAACGGTCCTGCAGACTTGATGATAAAGACAGAGATGAGAACGACTGATTGGACGTAAAGGAAAGAACAGCTGCACACACACAGTCTCAGTGCTATTCTCTGGGCTTTATAGTGCTGAGACGGGTGAAATCAGCATCTGTGTGTTTTATGTGCAGGAGAGGTGGAGGGAGCTGATAACACAGACAAAAAATAAAAACCTATTCATGGGGATGCAGGAGAGAGAAAGTGAGAGAATGAAAAAAAAACATATCAGGATTCATAAGAGGGAAAAAAAGAAAAGCTTTGGACATGTCTGAGGCTGAATATGTCACTAAAAATATTTTAATAAGGAAAGTAATTTAGCCATATAAAGTGGTGTTGACATAACATACTGTGAGTGCTTTGTAGCAAACATGCTTTGACTTAATGACAGGCCTGTTTGTCATTATGTGTGCACCATTAGACAATCTGTGTAATTAATGCTAATTGGTATTTATCATTGTCAATTATTGTGGATTTTTGTTCACGCATGGTTTATATGAAGGCCAATTTGTTTTAAGTTCTCATCAATATAACAAAATAATAACATAAATTATTAAATAACTTCATTTCCGCTTTGGAAACATCATTATTTCACTCAAAAACAGAAATTGGCTCTGGCCGTAATAAGTCTTAAACAAACAGGGGAAGAAGAAATAACTGGCTCCTCATTGTGGAGTCCATTTTAGGACTCAAACTGCAAAAAACAAAGCTTTTGTTAAGACAATTACATCAAAAATTGACTGGACTCTGCACATTAGACCCAGCAAACCAAATGATATGCATCATCTCTACCATTACAGTATTTTCAAATCAACCACTGCAAATGTCAAGCATCATTTCAATTAAATTTTCCTCAGTAATATATATATATATATATATATACATACACATACATACATACATACATATAAACAATAGTATATATAAAATATAAACAAATATAACATATATAAGAAATATATAATAATATATAACAATTATACAACTATTAAACATGAAACAAAAAAAATACCAATCAAATTCTAATCAGTTTAATATTTATCAGTATGTAACAGCAAACAAAAAGTGACGTTTTATTGCTTGTAGCTTGTTTTTTTTTTCTTTTCTTTTTTTTTTCACATATGCGTTTGCTCTCCATCTTCTCTCTTTACCTTTCCGCCATCGTTTGAGCTCATTTTCTAGCCTCTGGATGGTGATTTTTTGATTTCTGGTCTTCTCTTTCTCTTTCTCATATTTCTTCTTCCATTCCTCGGCTGTGAGCTCCATGTTCACAGACACTGTGTTTTTGATGGTTTTGGCCCTGTGGGAATAGAGCAGGGTGGAAATGATTTGTATATGCACATATTTGTGTCATTTTTGTTTTAGCTCCACTGGCTAGTCTTCATTTCTAGTCTTTATATAGTTAAAGAGAAATCTTCTAGGGCATAAAATGGCTTCACCTCTGGCCGAACATGAGTGTGGATTTGATCTCAGCCTCATTATATACGGATGGAGAGCAGCAGATGACGATGGTTGTTCTGCAGTTCCCACCCAAAGAGTCCTGTAGGATCCTGGTCATTTTACTGTCTCTGTATGGCACATGGGTTTTCTGTAATGAGAAAGAGAAGGCAAAGCAATAAATAATGTATAAAGCAAATATTGCTTTGTACTGTGTGAAGCCTACATTATGTAGACAAGATGAGTAGCATTTCAGAGAATAGAGAGGAAGTGGAAGAAAAAAAGAAAACGTCTGGGCAGTTGAGACAGGTCAAGCACTTACGGTTCCTTCAGCCAGGGCTGAGATGACGTTCCCCAGAGCAGAGAGAGACTTGTTGATATTTTTAGCCTCGTCCAACACAGATCCTAGAGTAGATGTGGTCAAAGATGTCCTGGGCGATGCGAGGGATGATGCCCTTCAGTTGTGAGTTATGGAGCTGTCCCTGTGTGCATGTTGCAGAGGACAATTACAGCAAATGTTTGATAAGATGCCACTTTATTTCGAGAAACTAATGACAGTTTGTGTAAGAACTAAGCACTGCATTGAAGAATTTCTATTTCCCTCTACGATATGTGTGTAATGTGAATAAGGATGATACAAGTATTCCCTCTGAAGAATGTACGAGGACATCCTTGTTTTGCATAATTTGCATCTTTCAGTCATTCTTTTTCAGAAATATTTTACAACTGAATTTATTGACTTTATATTCAAAACACTTGCTGAAAGCGCAGGCTGTTTCCAGGGCAACGCCTGCAGTCAAGTGGCATTTTGCAGCTGTTGCAGCAGTTTGGCATTTCAGTCATTTTATGAAAGATGCCGAGAGACGTTCATCCATCTAGAGCATTTTGTGACTGTGCGTGTAGTGACATTTTCTCACTGTACATGTACTTAAAGTTTACTCTATTACTGAACTATATAGAAATGTGTGAACTTAATACCAATCATGATATGATTTCGTTTTTCTTCCTTACCTCCATAGTGTGTGTCTTCCCTGATGAGGTTTGGCCATATGCAAAGATTGTCCCATTATAGCCATCCAGCACATCTGAAATGCAAGACTCGTGATTTAACTTTCAATTTTTTTTCTTTTAAGGTCTGTATAATTTAAGCTATCATGCAGCTATATGTAATGTATATACAACCTTTAACAATCTGTTTGGCACAGGTATCATATACTTGTTCCTGTGTTGTGTTCGGAGGAAAGACTCGGTCAAAGATATACGGCTTGCCCTAAAAAGAAACATTAGTCAAGAATATTGAACAGGTCTTAACACGTAAAATAGTTCAAGAGGCAACTCTAATAGAAAATATCATTAATATTTTGTTTTAAGCTTTAAAACCCCTAAATAAATGAATATCTTTAATACCCACAATAACACAGACCTTACAGATTAAAAATATGTGTTTGTAAATGTGGAGTAAATCAGCCGTCCTTTTTTTCTTTGTTTAGTTGAAATACAAGACACTCTGTGTTCTTCAAAGACTTGCACAGAACCTAATTTTTTCCCCAAATGTTTCATAATAACAAACACATATAAATGAATGGTGTATTAAATGGAAACTATGGTTACATTGAATCGTATTAGACAGCTAATGATCAAAGCTGGATGCTTACCAGTAAGAACTGAAATTGTAAAGTTTCTGCGTTAAGTTTTCTATGATTTAGCCCAAAACAGATAAATAGTTTGATTTCATTATTTATCATATTCATTTAAGAATTATTCTATTTTTGCATCAAGAGGTCACTCTCATAAATGGCCCCAGCACCTCTTTGTTTTGCTGATGCTGCACAGATTCTACTGATGGCTATTTATGAAGTTCCCCAGAGGATTTGAGGGATATACATTGTTGAAGAGAAAAAGAGGACCTTGTGATGAATGCAGCTCAACCCCCAGCTGCCAGTCAATCTTATTGAGCCCCAACAAATCCCTCTCTTTTGTTTTGATTCTCTGAGCCGGAGCCTGAACCTGCTGCTGAAATCTACAGACTTTGAAACTGTGATTAGCAATGAAAAATAACTCTCCAAAGAAAGAACTATGTGCAGGGAAATGTTTTTTAACCCTCTGAGGTCGGCACTTTTTTTCCCCTGATAATGCCGAAAAGAACTTAAATTACTTGATCGAACAGATACAAAACGTTTTGGAATTCTGTTTGATGATGCTACTGGCACAGAAATTACTATTTAAATTTACTTGTAAAATGGTTATGTCACGAATCCGGTCCATGAACTTCCTCTCTACAGAGCCCTCGTTAGCTTCCTAGCCTAGCCTAGTCTTGCCTTGTCTGTTTTCTCGGTTTTTGATCTGTGCCTGTTTTTCCTGGATTTATCCCTTTAGTCTCGCCCTTGTGATCCTGTTCGCCAATCGTTGACCTACGCTAGCCATAGGACTATCTTGTGTCTTGCCCGCCATATACCTGTTTGCCACCGTTCGACCCTGCCTGTGTTTCTGACCTCCTCTCATGTTAATAAAGCTTGCATATGGATCCGCACGTCTCACGTCTTGTCAGCCCCGTTACAGGTTACAATTTTGTATTTTTATTTTATTTTTGTTTTGTTTTATTTTTTTCACAAACTATAACTTTTGTCTAAACCTTATGTTTAAACTTTTGTTTAGACAAAAACATATAAGTAATAGTGAAGAAAAGAATAAAAGCTAGAATAAAAAAATTAAGATGGATAAATATCTAAGGATGCTTCTTTCTTTTACTGTTTATGGAGTGCAAAATCAGCTAATGTAGATTTGGCATTAGCGCTACGTTTACACATGCACACAAAGATCATTGGGAAGCTCATGTACTGCTGACAGCAGTTTTCCCACATCCTCTTTTGCCCATATGCACACAAATACACTCTCCCATATGGAAAGAGAGAGAGAGATTCCTGAGACCTACACAGATCCAGGTCTATCCTATGCCTTATTTCAACATCCATTAATGAAACATACGGTTCAGGTGACCTAAAACAGACATGCCTTTGCCCTGTTAATTATCTGTGTAAGAAATCACACAAGACTGTATAAGGTTTGATAGTGTTCACACAGACACATGATGTTTCTGTCTGTGTGTTTGATTAAGCCGGTTGGGGTCAAGCATCCCTGCCGAGACACAAATGAGAGCTGTTGCTCAAACCTAGACCGTCACCACGGAAACTACATCTCACCCGTAAAGAAATGCACTGATTGGCTGATAGTCAGCACTCGTCTCCTGGCCAATACAGGAGCAGAATAACATGATTGCTGGATGTGACAATCATCTCTTCCTTCAATCTCTCTATTTTTGTCCAACATTTTATGAGATAATTCAAATAAATACTGCAGATTAAAATTAATTATTGTAATACAGAAGAAAGAAAGAAAGAAACAGTAAATAGACAAGGACATTTACATTAAATCTTGTGCAAGACTTTTATCCATGTGCTGCAATCTGAACACAATCTTTTATAAACACAAACACTAGCTGTATATAAAAGCACACGTGTTCAGGTCAATGCATTCTTTTAGTCAATAATTTATGCATATTATCTGGGGACCATCAAGGCTTTTCCAAGAGTGCAGGATTTTACCACATTCAATCAAAAATCTATATTGCCTACTTCCTGAACAAATACTTGAAAGGATAATGCATGTTTTTCTATTTCAGATGGGTCTGTAGAATAGAAATAGTACATTACATACAGTATTTTAATAAATTATATAGATACAAATGTGTGTCGTAAATAAATATATAGGTCAGTCATGAAACTCTAGATGGCACAGGCTGATGGGTTGTTAACGTAACTGATGATATTCAGAGCGTTAAACGACTTGGCACAGCTGATTGGTTCATGCTACATATGCAGCCAATGAGCTTACTGCCTTGCATTTATATGGCTGGCTAGCATTCACTAGAGATTCCTGCAGCACGCTTTCAGAGTTTCTCTGAAACCCTCCACCTTCCCCAGCTCCACCT